CGTCTGCAGTATGAAAATACCCTTAGAAGTCTGGACCACGACTTGCACGTACGAAATCGATCTAGGAACTCATCATCGTGTCTTGGGAGTTCGAAATCCTCTGTCAATACATGGGCTATAGTGTTCTCAATCTTTTCTAGGTTAGGCCACTTATTTTCTTCCTCCCACAAGAATCTCGGCCCTTGTAACCACTCTCTTACCTTGGCCTTATCATTTAGTGATAATCCACGAGACGCGTGATCTGCAGGATTCAATTTACCTTTCACATATCTCCATTGGCTCGGCGTAGACAACTCGTGTATAGTTTCTAACCTGTTACTCACAAACCTTTCAAACCTTTTAGTCGTATTTTTTATGCAATGAAGCACAACTGTCGAATCGGTCCAATAAATGACTGACGAAATGGGGATACTTAACTGTTCCCTTACGTGCCTTCCAATCTTAGCACACAGAACACAGGCCGTTAATTCCATTCTGGGTATAGTAACAAGCTTTAGAGGAGCAACCCTAGACTTAGCTAGCAGGAATGAACAATGAATCTGATCAGAAACACTTTCGTAACGAATATACGCAACAACACCATACGCAAGCTCGGAGGCGTCGGCAAAACAATGAATTTGCGCAGATGATGGTTCAAACCCTGGTTTCAAACACCTTGGTATCCTTAAGTGGTCTAACCCTTTTATATGTCTACACCAATTATTCCACTTTGTTTGACAATCTATGGGTAACTCGGCATCCCAGTCTAGTTTCTGACGACAAGTATCTTGTAAGATCACTTTAGCCGGTAATATTACTGGGGCACAAACCCAATTGGATCAAAGATAGATGCTACATACGATAAAACATTCCTTCTGGTGGGGTTTCCGCGAAATTCGTGAACTTTGAAACATAACTCGTCTGTTCGGACGTTCCACTCTATTCCAGAGTTCGTTTACTTGTCTCATTGGACTCACAGACAGTAATGCTTCCTTCAGCACGGTCTCTTCTGGAATGAACTCCAGCACTTCAACGCTATTACTAGTCCATTTAGTTAAGTTAAATCCTCCCAAACTTAGGAGTTTTTAAAGTGCGAATATGTCCGTTTGGCTTCTTCTATGGTATCCACACTTATCAATAAATCATCCACATAAAACTGTTCTTTAGCTGCTTGCGTAACAGTCCTGGGAAATTTATCTTGATTATCAGAAATCGTTTTCTGTAAAGCAAAGGTGGCGCAACATGGCGATGAAGTTGCCCCGAACAGATGAACTTTCATTCTATAGATCCGGGTTCCTTTTTTAAGTCTCCACCTGGCCACCACAAATATCTAAGAACATCTCGATCATGCGGCGGAACTATTACTTGATGGAACATGGCTTCAATGTCCGCCGTAAGACCTACT